CCTCATTCGCGTTGTAGCATGTGTCAGAATTTCATTCCTCCCTGTGGCTCAATAATATTCCATCGTATGGATAGACAGTTTGTTGATCCAGTCATTCATTGTTTTGGCTGTTTCTGCCTTTTGGCTGTTGTGAATGACGCTATGAAGACTGGTGGGCGTGTCTGAGTCACTGTTGTCATTCTTCAGGTATAAACCTGGAAGTGGAACTGCTGGATCTCATAGTAATTCCACATCTAACTTTTTGAGGCACTGCTGGTTTTCCGTAGAAGCTACACCATTTCCCATCATCACCAACGCCACACAGGGTTCCAGTTTCCCCACATCCTTGACAATGTTGTTTTTTCTTTTGGAAATTATCCTAACGGATGTAGAGTGGTATCTTGTTATTTTGGTTTGCATTTCCCTGATGGCTAATGATGCTGAGCATCTCTTCACATACTTATTGGTCATTTGTGTGTCTTCTTTGGAGAAATATCCGTTCAAGTCCTTTGTCCATTTTTTAGTTAGGTTGGCCTTTTGCTGTTGAATTGTAGGAGTTCTTTATATGTTCTGGATATTAAACCTTTACCAGTTATGTGATTTACCAGTATTTTCTTCCCCTCTGTTGGTTGTCTTTTCACTCCTAATAATGTACGTTGAGCATAAAATTTATTACTTTTTAAGAGATGGAGTTTCGGCCGGGCGTGGTGGCTCACACGTGTAATCCTAGCACTTTGGAAGGCTGAGGTGGGCTTCGGGGTCTCTGTCTCACTATGTCACCCAGGCTGGGGATGCCATGGCTGTTCACAGGTGCGATCATAGCACACTGCAGCCTTGAACTCCTGGACTCAAGTGATCCTCCTGCCTGAGCCTCTTGGGACTATGCCTAGCTACACAAAGTTTTAAATTTTGATGAAGTCCAGTTTACCTATTTTTACTTTTATTGTCTGTGCTTTTGGTGTCATATCTACAGAACTATTGCCAAATCTAAGGTCATGAAGATTTGCCCTTGTTTTCTCTAAGAGTTTTATAGTTTTAGTTCTTAGATTCAGGTCATGATTCATTTGAATTTATTTATTGATTGATTGACAGAGTCTCACTTTGTTGAACAGGCTAGAATGAGTGCCGTGGCGTCAGCCCAGCTCACAGCAACCTCAAACTCCTGGGCTCAAGCGATCCTTCTGCCTCAGCCTCCCGAGTAGCTGGGACTACAAGCATGCACCACCATGCCCAGCTAATTTTTTCTATGTATTTTTAGTTGTCCAGATAATTTCTTTCTATTTTTAGTAGAGATGGGGTCTCACTCTTGTTCAGGCTGGTCTTGAACTCCTGACCTTGAGCGATTCTCTTTCCTTGTCATCTGAGAGTGCTAGGATTACAGGTGTGAGCCACTGCGCCTGGCCTTCATGTTAATTTTCTTTCAGCAGTCTCTTATAGTTTTATTTTATTTTTTTCTGAGACAGAGTCTCACTTTGTTGCCTGGGCTAGAGTGCTGTGGCAGCATCATAGCTCACAGCAACCTCAAACTCCTGGGCTCAAGTGATCCTCCTGCCTCAGCCTCCCAAATAGCTGGGACTATCACACTTGGGTAATTTTTTCTATTTTAGTAGAGATGGGGTCTCGCTCTTCTCTTGCTCAGGCTGGTCTCCAACTCCTGACTTCAAGTAATCCCCCTGCCTCAGCCTCCCAGAGTGCTTGGATTACAGGTGTGCCCAACCACGCCTGGACTCTTGTAGTTTTCATTGTATAAGTTTTTCTCCTTGGTTTAGTCCTAAGAATTCCTTTTGATGCTATTACAAATGAATTATTTTCTTAATTCCTTTTTGATTGTTCACTGGCAGTATATGTAAATATAACTGGGTCTTGTGTGTGGATTTTATACCCTGCAACTTTGCTGAAGTCATTTATTAGCCTTTTTGTGTGTGGATTCTTCAGGGTTTTCTACATATAAGTTCATGTCATCTGTGAACAAAGATTATTTTTCTTCCTAATTTTTTACCCTTGCCCAACTGCTCTGCCCAGGACCTCCAGTACTGTGTGGAGTGACAGTGGCAAAAAGTGGCATCCTTGTCTTGTTCCTGATCGTAAGGAAATGCTTTCAGTCTTTCACCATGAGCACGGTGTTTGCTGTGGGTTTTTCATACATGCCCTTTGTCATGTCGAGGAACGTCCCTTCTATTCTTCACAGGGATTTGTTTAAATGTCTGGATCCAAAAAGGAAAAACGGGTGTATTTATCTCTTTAAGTCTTCTGGTAGACGACACAGGGGAGCTGCTGCCTCTGCACTGGCCCCTCAGGGACCTGTCAGAACAATTTACAGTCAAAACCCCGAATTTTTGGAGGGCATGGTCCCCGCTGCCCATCCTGGCCCCAGGTGGTCCCCCTGCAGCCATGGTGGGGCTGGGGAACAGGGGCAGCAGCTGGTGGCATGTCGCTTACCAGAGAAGAGCCCCTCTCCCTTCTCACACTCCACCTGGTTGCCGTGAGTGATCAGGCGTGAGATTTGCCAGGTAGTGGATTCTGAACTTTGTTCTGGCAGTGGTGGTTTCGGTGACGGGACTGTCCCCTAAAGTTTCCCTACCCCACCATTTCCCATGACGTCTCCAGGTTTTGGTTTTGGTGCCGAGAACAGCATTCAATTCCAAAAACCTACCACTGTGGCAGACACACTGCGTGCTGCCGTGCTCTCACCCCTTCTGGGCTGCGCTGGCTCGAGGCGGCAGTTCAGGCCTCTCGGCCTCACAGAGCTGCTCTGGCTTTGGTGGCTACAGGGAGATTTGGGGGCCAGCCAGTTAGCAGCACAGAAGCAGCTCAGTCACGGAAGCTTGAGAAAAATCCTCTCTTGTGTTTCAAGAGACAAGGAACGCTTGTGAATGGAGATTAGAAACATCACTGAATTTGGGTGCATCTTTTTTTTCCTTCAGGATCTCTGGTAAGAAGAGTGAAGGCAAAGAAGCCAAGAAGGCTGAAGAACCAAAAATGCGTAAGAAACCTGGGCCCAAGCCCGGATGGAAGAAAAAACTCCGCTGTGAGAGGTGAGGGGACTGCAGTGTGGGGCCGGCCCTGCCCGTGGGCCACGTCTCCATGCGTGTTCTGCCTTGCAGGGAGGAGCTTCCCACCATCTACAAGTGTCCTTACCAGGGCTGCACAGCCGTGTACCGAGGGGCTGACGGCATGAAGGTGAGGGCTGGGTGTGCCCGACTGAGGCACGGCAGGTGTCAGTGTGAGGGGGGTGGCACCAGGTGTTTCTGCAGAGCTGGGCACAGACTGTTAGCTAACAGAGGCTCGGAGCAGCTACCGCCAGACCATCCCCAGGGGGAGGATGTGGAGCCAGCCCTTCACTCTAGAGACACCCTTGTCGGTCCAGGTGCTGCTTCGAGTGAGGCTATAAGGGAGCAAGGTGTGTAGTGCCAGGACAGTGGGATCTGTCCTTCCTGGAGGGACAGTCTGCTATAGCTGAAGGGTCAGCGAGCAGGGTCCTTGGGAGGTGGGATGTGCCACTCAGCCAGGCGGGACTTTGTCCTGGGGAGGCACTGAGGGCCTCTCCCTGGGTCCCTCCTGCAGAAGCACATCAAGGAGCACCACGAGGAGGTCAGAGAGAGGCCCTGCCCCCACCCTGGCTGCAACAAGGTGTTCATGATCGACCGCTACCTGCAGCGCCACGTGAAGCTCATCCACACAGGTACCTGCCCTCACAGGCATGGCCGTGTGGGGGGCGGATCCCAGCATATGCCCCATCCTGGGGTTGGGGGCCATGTCTAGTATGCACCCTTCTAGGAGGCCCAGGGCTGCACTTGGGCCTTCAGGTGCTCACAGAGGCAGGTGGAGGCCACGTCTAGTTTGTCATGAGTGACAGGCAAGAAATATTAGTACCCTTTTGCAAGCTCATGATCTAAGAAAACCCACTTATTTTAATCCTTTTTGGATAAAACTTACATGTATTTAGCAATTGTCAAAAAATAAGAGCACAAAGATAAGCACTCACACTGGGAGGAGGTCCCTAAGTTCTTCTAGCCTTTTCTCTGCATGTGTTCTCACTTTGGGCCCGTGTTAGACATTCACAACCTCATGGCTTCCTAGTTTCAGTGTTGTGACTACACGAGGCCTGTGTTTCCTGCCCTGTCTACGAGGGGCAGTCCCCCTGAACTGAATTCCTTCTTGTTTAAGATGAATTTGTTATGTATACAGCTGACCCTTGAACACAGGTTTGAACTGCTTGGGTCCACGTATACATGGACTTTGAGCCAAAAGTGGACCGAAAGTACAGTATTCATGGATTAGAAACCTGTGGAGGACTCTGCATGGTCGGCTCCAGGACTTGAGTGTACTTTTCCTGATTGTGACGCTTGACACCATGCTTCCCCGGGGAGGTCTGAGCATTTAGGCGCCTGCGTTCACCCCATCTTTGGTCTTTCAGAGGTGCGGAACTACATCTGTGACGAGTGTGGACAAACCTTCAAGCAGCGGAAGCACCTCTTGGTCCACCAGATGCGCCACTCGGGAGCCAAGCCTCTGCAGTGAGTGTGGGCCGGGTGTCCCCCGGACGCTGTGCCCGGCACAGGCCCTTCCTCACATGCCTCTGTCCCCCAGGTGTGAAGTCTGTGGGTTCCAGTGCAGGCAGCGGGCGTCCCTCAAGTACCACATGACCAAACACAAGGCTGAGACTGAGCTGGACTTCGCCTGTGACCAATGTGGCCGGCGGTTCGAGAAAGCGCACAACCTCAACGTGCACATGTCCATGGTGCACCCACTGACCCAGACCCAGGACAAGGCCCTGCCCCTGGAGGCAGAGCCACCACCCGGGCCCCCGAGCCCCCCTGGGACCACGGAAGACCAGACTGTGAAGCCCGAGCCCACCTGAGGCCTGCAGGTGGGAATGTGGGGTTCTTCACATGCCCCTGCTGTGTGCACACGTCACCAGGGCTGGTGGTGGTGGCTTGGTGTGTAGCTCACACAGCCTTTGGGCTGTTCTGGGACCAGGGTTTATGTTCCTACAAACACCAACTGACTTGGGGCCAGAAGCAGATTATAAATAATTTATTCCTTTCCCCACTGAAGCAACCAAGGTGGTTTGTGATCCACTTTTAGGGCAACAAGAGCTCCATGTTATGCTTGTAATAAATTATTTACAAAGGGGCGGGGCTGGTGCATGGTGACGAGTCCAAGCGGAAGAGGTGAGGCTCCCGGTACAGGTCCTCGGGCACAGCCTGCTGCCTGCACAGGAGGGCGGCGCTCACTTCTGGGTCGTAGTCCCCACGGTCAGCCAGCAGCTGTGAGGAGACATATGCTCAGCCCTCGGGACAGAGGGGACCCGAGCAGCTGTCTGCGCAGACGTGGGAGAGGGGTGGGAGGACACAGCTGACAGCCCGTGGACCTGAGGTGTCACACACACACCCCAAGGTGAGCATCCTGGTGTTACCTCTGCCATGTTTGAGAAGCTCTTTTTCGGGCACCGAGGTATTAACTGCAGCAGAAAAAGACGTGCTTCTGTGATCAGTTCCACAGGGTTGCCCTAGAGGGAAGACAGGCAGAGTCACAGGTTAATGGTATGTACTGCGGCAGGACCGGCATGTCCCCACAGCCTGTGCCAGAATGTTCCTGGGCAGAAGGAGCCTCTGGCTGGGGAAACCTGCCTGGAGGTGGCCCTGGAGCTCTGGGTTCCTGCTGGCCCGAAGCAAGACCGCACTGGTCTCCCCGGCCACAAAGAGCTGGATCAGCTGCAGGTACATGTCGACAGCGACCCGCAGGAAGGCCTCCTCTCTGACAGCAGCGTCCTTGTCAAAGTAGGAGAGGAGACTAGGGGCAGAGACGTGATGACAAGAGCTGTCACGGACAGATCATCTGTGAAGCAACGCCACATACAACCCTGACCACGTGGGCTTCCCTGGACCAGCTCATAGGTGTACTTACCTGTAGAAGGCAAAGGGCAGCAACCTGGCATGCTGACCTGGGGCCACACGGAGGAGGAGTTGCCCCAGCCCGGCATCTGCAACAAAGAGAGGGTCAGTCAGCTCTGGACACCATGTCTCTGGGAGGACCATGGCTCAGGCTGAGGACACCTGGGGGCACCTACGTCCCACCAGTGCTCCAGTAAATTCGCTGGCTTTGAACAAGTTTGTCCCAAATAAAATGAAGCTTATGAACGCAGCAAGAAGATGAACTCATAAAAATGAACGTGTAAAATGAGCCCCAAGGAGGGCTTATTCTTAACCATCTGAAAGTTGTTTCTGAAGAAAACAGTCCCCATCAGCACCATCCCCTCAGTGGGCTTCTTACCAGTCTCTGTCAGCTGGAAGAGCGCCAGCCAGGGTATCCTCCTCCTCTGCAAACACGCCAGGACCTCGGCACAAACCGCCAAAGCCTTCGGGGAGTCGACGGCCTCCTGTGACCCAAGAGAGGGACCCTGGGAGAGGCCTTAGCACTGACCTCAGCTCAAGAGGCCGTTGCCTCTTTTCTCATTCAAAGTGGCAGGCTGTAGAAGGCGCCACACTGGGGCCTCTGCGAAGAGGCTCCAGCAGGACACACGTAGGCCGCCAGGGACCCTCGGGTGTCCACACCCCAGGGTGCTGCACCACGTTCTAAAGTAAAGGCCTGTGGTCTGGGAGTTCTCGCACCTCACCCGGGATACCCAGGGACCCTGACTAGCCCACAGTGGGAAACGGCCACCGCAGCTGGTGACGTCTCACTTACTTTTGGGGTCAGATGTGATGACAGCAGGCCCATCAAGGAAAAGAAAAAAAGGAAAACCAAAAGCTGCAAATAAAACGTGCTGTTATTGCAACAAAATTACCTGTGTGGTGCAATACCAAGTAAGAACCACACGTACTTTCTTCCTTGCCTAAACCTTTGCTCACCTAGGCCATAAAATCCTTTCAGTGGATCTCCAAATAAAAACAACAGCTTAATTGCAAATTATTACTGAGTGGGTCATTTTATACTTGCCTTTAGAACAGCTAAAAGCAATTTGAAAAAGTGGCAGCAGTGACAAATCGTGGCTGGAGTCTCCGAGTTGTGGGAGCCATGAGGCTTCCTGTCAGAAGACAAGCCATGGGCTGTCCTGACCCAGGGGCCACCCTCACACTTGGGCGTGAGGCTCTGGAGCCACTGAGATTCCTGGACTGGGAAGAACGCCTGTCTGATTTTTATGACGACGAGAACCCTCCACTCTGCTACTGATTCAGTTCTCAGGTCAGTGTGTGAGCCCTGAGCTAACTCCGAGACCCACCCACATTCAGGAGTGAGGGACTAGAGGACGGATCACCCAGCTCTCCTCTGGGAGTTCTCCACTTTCTCCTCAGGGAGTCACCACCTCTGTGCACTTGGCACTAATTACAGAAAACGTGGGTGCCGCTGGCCTTGGGGGCTGTCAGGGGCTCTCCAGAGTCCAGTATGGTCCCTGGCCTGGGAGCGCCCTCCTCTGCCCTCATGACAGCCCTGCCCTCTGCCTTCTGTGCCCAGAGCTCCAGGGCCACGCTGCCAGGGTGTGCAGCAGTGGGTGCCCATAAAACCTATAAACTCAGTGACAGGTTTACTTCCAAATAAAGTGAAAAGAATTTCAAACCTCACATTTGTTCTTGGGAAAAGTTAATTAAGCAAACCTTGAGAAATACACTGATTAAAAGAAACAGATTGGGTGTCTTGCCTCCTCTCCTGCACAGTCCAGCTTCCGCAGCTGTCTCCTGATGTCTTCCTTCCTGACTTGCTGAATCTCGAAGTGCAAGGCGGCAGCCGAGACCCAGGCCAGGTCGGGTGAAGGGGAGGCTGCCTCAGGGGACAGGAAGCTGGAACAGAGAGAACCAGGTCATCGACCACATCCTTGTTCCTTTGCCGTGACAGCCCCGCACAGCTGTGGGCTCACCTTCCCCACAGGGGGTCAGAGCTGTGAGGTTTGAGGCCTGCATCCCACATGCCCCTGGCTCAGTGCGAGGATCTAGGCGGGCGCGAGGGCTGCCCTAGGCAGCGATGCTGATGCCCGTGGCCTTCTGAGAGCTCTAGCCAACAGCACGGAGACGCAGGGCTCGTCCTGTCTGGCTGCCTAAGCTCAGCTCTCCACACCTGGCCTGCGAATGGGTCAGGTGTCCCCTCCTGAGACAGAGGACGAAGGAGCATCTACTACCAGTGTGGCACCCAACACTTTTCCATCAAGTTAAAAATTTGGCAGAAAATAATTATATCGTTGGTTTAAGAAACTTTAAACAATCTGATCTTTGTTGAATTAGGGTTGGTAGGTGAGACCTGCCAGGCATTGGGGATTCAGAACTCTGGTGACAAAGCTGTTCTGCAAGGACCTCTGAGCACACAGCTCTCCTCACATTCAGCAGGCACCACGGACCGCCAGCGGCCCTGAGGGTGGGTTGACCTAGACAGACCACTGGGCCCAGCCCAGAACACCTGATGGGGTCCACAGGTCAGGGTGGGCACCCCTAACACACCCCCAGGGCACTGCCAGCCCCAGGCCCTGCCTCGGGACCCCACGCTGGACGGGCAGGTGGGACACGCTGAGCTGGAATGTGACTGCAACGCAGCCTATCTCAAAACACGCTCGAGCTCCCCACTCGCTGGCCGGGCAGAGCTGGGTCCCTTCTCCCATCTCACACAGATCTCACAGAGGCTGCCCCGGTGTCCATGACCAGCCCAGAGGTCCCGAAGCGCAGTCAGGCGCCCACACCCTCACCCAGTGGCAACACGTACTGCCTGGCAAAGCGCTGGGCTTCCTGCAGCCTCTGCAGCTCCCGCGGCAGCGGGCTCCGGCAGCGCCGCCTCCACTGGCACAGCAGCACGGGCTCCAGCCGCGGCCACCACAGCTGCGGGGAGAGGGCACTGCTGGGACACAACCAGGCCGGAATCCAGAAGACCCAGAGCCTTGAGTGACCAACAGCCAGCCTCGTGACTACCACACATCCATGACCTCATAACTTAACTAATTCATCAATTATTTTAACACAGGGTCTGGCTGGGAGTGCAGTGGCCTCGCCATGCTGCAGCCTCCTGAGGTGCTGGATCACAGGCGTGCGCCACCGTGCACAGCCTACTTCTCATTTCCAGCTCAGAGCAACCCCAGGGGGTGTCCTCGTCCTCACCCACAAGACGGGGGTCTGGGGAGGGGGGCACCTGGCCTAGGGAGGTGCCCTGCGTGCCTGTCTTGCCGGGAACTCTGTGCAGGGACATCTGCCCAGCTGAGAGGCAAGCGAACGCCAGACGTGAGGTGCCAAGACTGCACAGGGAGCTCTGGGGAATGTGCTGCTTCGCGGGAAATGGACCTCGGCTCCCATGGCTGGGCCGGGGCCAGGCCTCTACGTCGGGACACGGAGGAGGAGGACAGCGCACTGTCCAGGACCCTGACCAGGCAGCCAAGGTCGCCCTGCAGGCTCCTCTCACAGCCTGCACCCCAGAACGTGACACCACACGGAGTCTGCTACACAGCAGGGGGCTGGGGCAGCCTCTCTGTTCTCACGTGCCTCACGGGAGGCACGGGCACAGCCCCCAGTCTACGCACAGAGACCGAGCGAGGGAGCGAGACCCACAGACACAGCTGAGATGAGCGCAGTTCTGGGAATGGGAGACTTGCAGTCCCCATCTGCTGTGTGCTGAGGTTCCCGTCCAGCTCCCATTTCTCCTGTTGTAACGAGGACGAACACAGTGGGAAACAGAGAGCAGCTTCTGAGAAGCCCTGGTGGGTGCAGAGTCCCCCACCCATCCCAGAAACACCCCAGCAGACGGTGGCAGACGGGCCTACCAGCGCAGAAGTCAGGATCAAGGGGCACTGGGTCTGGCACTCTGCCAGCAGCAGGTTGGCCATCAGGGCAGGGTCGCCGCTCTGCACACAGGTGTGCAGCAGTCCCTGCAGAAGACGACACCCAGCAGCTCAGTGGCTGGCCACGGCCCAGGACAGTCCGGGCTCTGTGGGAACCCAACCCGGGACCCGCCGAGGGGCCCTGAGGAGGCTGGGGCGCGGCTTACCCTGAAGAAGTGGGCGGTGATGTCATGTGTCAGGGCACCCCCGTGGGAGCAGCAGTTTCTCTGCAAGAGTTCAGCGAGATGGTAAGGAACGGCCACAGGGCAGGGAGGTGAGGCCAGAGAGACTGCTGTGCAGACTCCATCATGAGCAGGATGCTCTGTGGGGCTCAGGGGCCGGCAACCAGCCCCTAGCTGACCCCGGGGCTGGACCACTGGCCAGGGGCCCAGCCCGCCTGCTGCCAGAGGCTCCCAGCCACAGGCCTTTTAATGGCTTCTCCGTGCAGCCTCATCCCTCAGCCACCAGCTCGGGCCACGCAGGGGGGCTCCGGGTGGGAGCTGGGGAGGTACGTGTGGGTAGCACAATTGCTCAGGGCCCTGGGATGACGCCACTGCCCAACCATCGTCTCGTTCTATCCTCTGCTGACGAAGCACATCATGTTTTCTCATCTAACTAACTGCCATCACGTCCGAGTCTGAGAGCTTCCAGAAAACCACCTTTGGCAAGAATGTAAAGAAAATCTTAAGGAGGCCAGGCACAGTGTCGCATGCCTGTGGGCCCAGCACTGTAGGAGGCCAAGGTAGGAGGATTGAGCCCAGGAGTTCAAGGCTGCAGGGGGCTGTGATAGATTGCACCACTGCACTCCAGCCTAGGCAACAGAGACCCTGTCTCCAAAAGCAGTAAGAAAAGGCCCTTAAGGAGAAGCCACCATCCCTGAGCTAGAGGGAGCCCTGACACTGTGACATCTATACGTGCCACCTTCTGCTTTTATTGGTGTCAAAAATGAAACAGGCCAGGCGTGGCTCACGCCTGTAATCCTAGCACTCTGGGAGGCCAAGGCAGGCAGACTGCTCAAGGTCAGGAGTTCAAAACCAGCCTGAGCAAGAGACAGACCCCGTCTCTACTATAAATAAAAAGAAATTAATTGGCCAACTAATATATATAGAAAAAAAAATTACCCAGGCATGGTGGTGCATGCCTGTAGTCCCAGCTACTCGGGAGGTTGAGGCAAGAGGATCACCTGAGCCCAGGAGTTGGAGGTTGCTGTGAGCGAGGCTGACACCACGGCACTCACTCTAGCCTGGGCAACAAGGCGAGACTCTGTCTCAGAAAAAAAAAAAAAAAAGGAAACAGAGTTGCCTGGCGGCAGCAGTACCACCAAATCACCACTTGGCTTTTGCACACATAAACAGTCAAAATTGGAAAACAGTTAGGAAGGTGTGTGGCATGCAGAATGGTCTCCAAATCCCACGGGTCCAAATCGTTAAACTTTGAGGGAAACTGTGCAGAAAAACGGCCGACAGCGGCGTCTGCGCTGGGCCCTTCCCCAGGACCGCGTGTCCCGCAGGGACGCGGCACCTACCAGCTCAGAGTTGACCAGGTGGAAGAAGTCCTCGCAGTGGGGGGTGGTGGGCGGCTCGGCCTGGAAGCTGCCCAGGAGCACAGACGGCGGCAGGCGGAGGAGCAGCCTTGGAGGAAGGTGGGCAGTGAGGGCGCGGCACATGCTCGCTCCTGCCCACGGGCCCAGACCCGCAAACCCAGTGACGCTGTCAGAGCCAGAGCCAGAGCCTGCGGCTGCGGCCCTGTCCCCCACAGGTCTGCCCTGAGCACACGTCGGCACCGTGCCGGCCCCGCAGGCATCTGGGGTGTGTTACCAAAAGAAACCAATTCTGGACAGTTGGCGTGAAACCGAGCAGGAGCACGCAGCGCAGGGTAGCGAGGCAGTTCCCTGTGACTGGGAATTGTGTGTGCCACTCTCTACAGTGAGCACAGCTGTAGGGGACACCTGGAACACACCATCCTCCTCACGGGGAGTGAGCTCCCCACGCCACTCCCTCAACAGAGGGGCTCCTCCGTCTGCCGGGAAGGCTTTTCACCCAAAGCACCTGTCAAACCTCCAGAACTCACTCTCCGTGGGAACCGCCAAGGGGATGGAACCACCACAGGCTTGGGGGGGGATACAGAAATACGTAACTAACGGAGAAAAACTATGTAGAGAAAAAGGCTGGGACAGTCACTGTGAAACCGCTGTGCCTGGGTTACCGTTTGCACGTGAGCAGCTCCTGCTGTCTCTGAAGGCTGGCGGCCACGTCCCACCCGCCGGGCAGAGCCTGGAGCCTCGTGCAGAAAACCCGGAAGAGGAAGTGCCGCCGAGAGGGGGAGCGGCCGTCCTGCTCCCGCTCCAGCTCCACAGCCATCTCCTGGAGAAGAGGGAGGCCAAGACACTCACACCCTTGTCTCCAGGGTGTGGGTGTGTCTCTCGCCCTCAGGGGGGAGAGAAAGGCCTCCGGGCTCAATGCTGGGCAAGGTGGGACACGGAGAGAGGAGTTTGCATGGAGGTCTCTGCTGGGGCAAAAGGGGCAGGACCAAGTGGGAGCAGCTTTTTGACTTGGAAAGCATTTTTAAATTGCAAAAGAAAAGTGCAAGGAACGCCCATGTACCCTTCCATCCAGGTGCGGCTATCCTGACATCTAGCCCACTGATTGTTCTCACTCTCCCTGTGTCAGCAGGTGTGCGTGCAACACTCGATTCTTTTCTGGACAATTGGAGGGTGAATTATGAACACAAAGGCCTTGACCCCAAATGCATCTGTGTGCATTTCCTTAGCTGGTCCCAGCTCGCTCGGCTGTGAGGGACTCCAGCATCACATGTGACCACAGCTGTGTGTCCTGTCAGCTGCCAAACAACTAAGACCCCAGAGGGTGCAGGGTCAGGGGGCATTCTACTGTCACAGCTCACAAGCCTCCGTCATTCTAGAACATTTCCAGAGTCTTTGATTTTTATGACACTGACATTTATGAGAAAAAGGACTGTGAGGCTGGGCGTGGTGGCTCACGTCTGTAATCCCAGCACTCTGGGAGGCCGAGGCAGGAGGACTGCTTTTGCTCAGGCTGGTCTCAAACTCCTGACCTCAGGTGATCCTCCTGCCTCAGCCTCCCAGAGTGCTGAGATTAGAGGTGTGAGGACGGTGTCTGGCCTATAATAAATATCTTAACAGAAGATGGCTTAATGGCAGTGAACACACCACATCTTGGTGTGCTCTATCTCACCTGCAACCTGGAAAGAATATCCTGATTCCCTGTGCGGCCACCAGGGACCGAATCGGTATTCTCTGAGTGGTCACAACTCCTCGAACTGAAATGCAAATACAGTAAAAGCTCATCAGCATCTCCTCTGCTGCTGGCATTCCTGGTCCCCCTGCCTCCAGAGCAGGGTGCTCTGCGCTGCTCTGGGGGTGCGACAATCACATTAATCAACAAGAAACCACAAAAATTCAAATATTAGCAATCCAAATCCAGCAAATATAAAAAGAATTCTGTACCAAGGTCAAGTAAGATTTATCCCAAGAATGCAAGGTTGGTTTACATCCAAAAATCGATGTAACAATTAGTTATCATTAAAATAAAAACAAAACCCACATGATTATCTCAATAAATGCAGAAAAAGCACTTAACAAAATTATACGTCCTTTCATGATAAAAACACTCAGTAAACCAAGAATAGAAGGGAACATCCTCCATCTGATACTGGGTATCTATGAAAAACCCACAGCTAACATTAGACTTAATGATAAAAGACTGAAAGCTTCTCCTCTGAGATCAGGAACAAGACAAAGATGTCTCTCTCTCTCTCCCTCCCTTTCCACACTGCACTGGAAGCTCTAGCCAGGGAACCTGAATAAATAAATAAACAGCATCCACATTGTAAAGGAAAAAATTAAACTATCTCTATTCACAGAAGACATGCTCTTATATATGGAAAACCTTAAAGAATCCATTAAAGAAGACTATTAGAGCTAATAAATGAATTCAGCAAATCAATGTACAAAAATCAGTGGCATTTCTGTTCATTAGCAAAGAATAATCCAAAAATGAAAGACTTAGTATTATTAAAATGGCAATATTATCCAGATTGATCTACAAATCAAAGGCAATCCTTACCAGGATCACAACTGTCTGTCAAAATTGACAAGCTGATCCTAAAATTCAGATGGAATTGCAAAGGACCCTGAATGGCCAAAATAATATTGAAAAAGAAGAACAAGGCTGGGTGTGGTGGCTCAAACCTGTAATCCTAGCACTCTGGGAGGCCGAGGTGGGCGGATCATTCGAGGTCAGGAGTTCAAAACCAGCCTGAGCAAGAGCGAGACCCCGTCTATACTAAAAATAGAAAGAAATTAATTGGCCAACTAAAAACATATATACAAAAAATTAGCTGGGCATGGTGGCACATGCCTGTAGTCCCAGCTACTCGGGAGGCTGAGGCAGTAGGATCGCTTGAGCCCAGGGGTTTGAAGTTGCTGTGAGCTAGGCTGATGCCACGGCACTCACTCTAGCCAGGCACAAAGTGAGACTCTGTCTCAAAATTAAAAAAAAATAAAAAGAAAAAAGAAAAAGAAGAACAAAGTTGGAAGACTCGTATTTCCCATTTTCAAAACCTACCACAAAGCTACAGTGATCAAATCCTGCAACATTGGCCTATGGCAGACATGGACCAATGAGAAAACTGAGGGTCCAGAAATAACCACATGAATGGTCACCTGACTTTTGACACAGTGCCACCACCACTCAGTGGAGAAGGAACAGTCCTTCCCACAAATGGTGCTCAGACAATTGGATGGCCACACGCAAAAGAATGAAACTGGACCCCATCTCGTACAAAATAACTCAAAATGGATCGAAAACCTAAAGAGCTAAAACTAAAAATAGATGAATTGGGCTTCATCAAAATTTAAAGCTTGGCCAGGCACTGTGGCTCACACCTGTAATCCTAGCATTCTGGGAGGCCGAGACAGGCAGATCGCTCAAGGTCAGGAGTTCGAGACCAGCCTGAGCAAGAGCAAGACCCTGTCTCTACTAAAAATAGAAACAGATTAATTGGCCAACTAAAAATATATAGAAAAAAAATTAGCCGGGCATGGCACATGCCTGTAGTCCCAGCTACTCGGGAGGCTGAGGCAGAATTGCTTGAGCCTAGGAGTTTGAGGTTGCTGTGATCTAGGTTGACGCCACGACACTCTAGCTACGGCAAGAGAATGAGACTGTCTCAAAAAAAAAAAAAAAAAAATTTAAAGCTTTTGTGCATCAAAGGATACTATCAAGAGGGTGAAAAGACAATCTACAAAATGGGAGAAAATATTTGCAAATCATGTCTGATAAGAGCTTATATCCACAATACATAATGAACTTGCTCAACTCAGGAAGACGAATGCAGTCAGGCATCACTGAACAACAGGGATGTTCTCAGAACCGTGTCCTCGGGTGCTTCTGTCGCTGTCCAGACGTCACAGTGTCCTCACACAAACCAGAGGGCATGTCCTGTGACTCCCGGCTACATGTCTGTATAGCGTGGTGCCTACTGGGTGCACAAGCAAGTGCAACACAAGGGAAGAACCTGTGTATCTGAACTCGCCTAAACACAGAAGAAGTGCAATAAAAACACAGTATTATACTCTTACGGAACCACCCACGCACATGTGGCCCAATGTGGACTGAAATGTTACTAATATGTGGCATATGATTACGACACGATTTTTAAATAAGGACGTGAATAGATATTTCTCCAAAGACGACATGCAAATGGTCAATAAGCACATGAAAAGATGCTCAATATCATTCACTATCAGGGAAGTGCAAATTAAAACCACAGTGAAACAGCTGTTGTCAAAAAGTCAGGTCACAACAAGTGTTTGCAATGATTTGGAGAAACCAGAACCCTCCTATACTGCTGGTGGGGATGTACAATGCTGCAGCTGGCTTGGAAAACAGTCTGGGAGTCCCTCAAAGAGTGCCAGAGAGCTGCCCTATGACCCAGCAACTCCAGTCCTATGAATATGCCCAAGAAAAACAACAACATAGGCCCCCACAAAACCTGTGAACAACTTTTACAGCAGCATTATCCATAATATCCAGAAAGGACAAACAACCCAAACGTCCATCAATAAACAAATGGATAAACAAAGTGTGGTATACATCCTTCCATCACTATTTGTTACACAAAAAGGAATGATGTTCTGATATGTGATACAACATAGTGAACCTCAAATATTTTGCTCAGGGAAAGAAGGCAGACACATGTTGTATGATCTACTGACATGCAATGTGCAAAACAGGCAAATCCACACACAGAAGCAGACTCTTGGTTGCCAGGGGCCGGAGCATCAGAGGGAGGGCAGGTGCATACTCGCTCATCCCTGCAGGGCTGCTCTCACGGCCCCAGAGGACAAAGGCACTGGCTGTGATTCTGCTTTGCCTAGTGTGTAGTGTGTCCCAGCCATCAGGCACCAGCAGGAAGAACTTCTCACACTGCTGGCTATGCTGAAATGTAACCTTTACACAGGAAAGAGACTTCACACTGTGAGTTTATGAGAATTCTACTATGGACCAATACGTTCCTAGGTCCTTGTGGAGAACACAGGGCAGTGGGAGAAACAAAGTCCCCTTCCTGGATTTTGTCTTCAGCAATGATCTGCCTGGACAATGTTTCTCAGACTGTAACAACAGAACCCATTTGTAATGACTAACATAACATGCTGTATAAACTGAGCCTCTGGAAAATGGAATCTCGCACAGCCTCAATACAGGTCAGGTAACCCTCGTCTGAAATGCTTGGGGCCAGAAGTGTTTTGAATTTCTTTTTTTTGATTTTGTAATATCTGCATTATACTCAACAGTTTAGCATCCCTAATCCAAAAATCCAAAATGCCGTAATGAGCAGTTCCTTTGAGTGTCACATTGGTGCTCAAAAAGTTTCAAAGTCTGGAGCATTTCAAATTAGGGATGCTCGACCTGTAACCAACCAGACGCAGTCACTCCCGAGTCAGGAAAAGTGTGCACCTGCGGCCACCAACGAGAGCCCTGAGTGGAGATGGCAGCAGAGGACTCAGACGAGGCAGAGGACTGCTCCCAGCCGGCCCACACGTAGCGCTGTATGGGCCGCTGTCCCGACACCCTGAGGGTCCCTGCGATGCTGCCACCTCGCCAGACCACTGATCCACTCTCCACGTTTGCCAGCCCTCAGTGTCAGCTGACAAAACAGAAAGACACAGCAGTTGCTCTTGGCAAATCTATATGCATAAAGAAACCACTGCTTCGGGAAGTGCGCCTTTACTTTCCACAGCCTCAGACTTGCTATAATATGCTCAAATGTGCTTAAAAGATAATTGGACTGAGAGAAATAAAACTGCATTCTCAGAACTCCCATGATTAAAAGCAAGACGTTTCCCGTGTCTGCACTGCTCACCTCTGGCAGTAGTCCATCAGCACGTCAACGAGAACCGTGCACGCCACCTCCAGGTCTCCATCACAGCCCCCCAAAGCGGCAGGTGCAGGGAGGTAGTGCTCGCGGATCGCCCACTGGTGGAAGTCCTGTCTGCAACAGGGAACCCCGCGTGAGCAATTCTGAGAAAGACTGATGAGCTTGGTAATTGGGGCCACTGCACAAATGCAGGCCAATGTGTTACCCTAGGATGTCTGAACCACCCCAAGGTCCACCACGATGGGACGTAGGAGAGTGGAAGCCACTGAGCGGGGCAGCTGTGTGCACAGGCAGAGAGGCCTCAAGGACACACTAGCTGCAAACAGCACAGAACCATCGACGCTGGATCCACTCACGTAGAAAGAGCCAAACCCAAGTGAAATATTTCCACACAACTGCAATCGGGCCGAGGAGCAAGTGCTTTATCCACGTTGTCTAGAATTTGTGCAGAATCCACCTGAGTATTACTTGTGTAATTAAAAAAGGAAATCCCAGGAACACGCTGGACATGATCTCAGCATCCCTCCCACCCCTCCCGCTCCCCAGCATCCCTGGACTGCACGAGACAGGACTCGGCCAGTGCGCAGGCGGCACTCGCATCGCTCACTGGGCACAGCCTGAGATGCAGACAAACACCCCTTTGTCAGAAAAAGCAGCTTGTTCTTTCTGTTGCCCCAGCGTCTCCATTTTCATGTGTTCCCTCCAGAACCGAACACGCTCAGCAGTGCAGAAGGTGGCTGCCCACACGCCTGGAGCTCTTTGCCCACACGCCTGGAGCTCTTTGCCCACACGCCTGGAGCTCTTTGCCCACATGCCTGGAGGTCTCTGCCCGCAAGGAGCGTGGGGGCACCAGGGCTGATGCTGGCCCGAGGCTGGCTGTGGCAAGCCTTCTCCACGTTTCTGGGGACATTTCCCTCCCTGACCTCCACCCTAGACCCACAGGCCCTCTCAGCTGCCCACTCTCCAGCACAGAACAGCACGTCTGACCTCTGATGTCACAGCCATCGGCCCAAGACCCTCAGAGGCTCAGTCCTTCCAGTACTGTTTCCTGGTGCTCCCACCTCAAAGCCCACACCCTCCCCAGAGCCTGCACCTCCACACACCTTTTGCTCCCACCTGGTCACTCGCCCTCACACAGCCCTGCTGAGGTCTGGGCACTCACCCCACCTTTCATCACTTCCACGTGCTGACCTGCTGGTGGCCAGGACCCCCACCCAGGCACACGGCTCCTCGACAAGAGCCCAGTCGGGGCCGGATGGAGTCCAAGCCCTCATCTGCACAAAGGTGCCATATGGGCAGGCTGGTCCCTTTCATGCTGGTCCCCTAGCTTCTAGAATATTCTAGAAGTGCCTGGCACCTGGCAGGAGCTCAATAAATGTTTCTTGAATAAAAGAATGAACAACTGAAATTGTGTCAAAAGTTATACAGTCGAACCAGACATTAAAATGAGAATATAAGGACAAAATGTAGGCTTTAAGACAATACATTTTAAAGGGCAGCTCCTTTAAACACTAACCTTTCTGTGTCTGAAAGAAAGTCAACTTCAGGCTGAACTTCCAGTTCCAACCATAACCAGTCTCTGTAAGTTAACTGAGAGAAAAAGGAGTGATTTACATGTGTGCACGAACCACGTCAGGTTTACAGAACAGGGTGTCATTTCATCTCAAGAGGTCCGTGTCCCTCTGTTATGTTGTAATGAAATTGCAGCTCAAGGAGTCTCACAGGAAGGAAACTTAACCTTATTTTGTCAAGAATATATTCTTATAGAATAATTTCTATTTTTATACCATTTCCCTAGCATGAAACCACTCTAGCACAAAGACGGTAGCACTGTAACACTTTTAGCAAGCATAACAAGGCTATTTTTATGAAATGCATTCCATAGTGGCCCGAGACAGGAAGCGCTGCCGTACTGTCTCTGCTGACTGCTCTCTGTGGCACTGCTGACTGTCTCTGTGAGGGCGTCACTGTCTCTGTGACTGCAACTGCTCAAATCGCACTACACTCTCCACTGCCTTTGGTTTGTGAGAAGCTAATGACAGGGTTTTCACATGCCTGTATGAGATGAGCCTCCCTCAAACCTGGTTACAGCATTGGCACCTTACCCATTTGACATGGAAGAAAAAACTAAAAAAAAAAAGGGGGGAAAAAATCAAATTCTCCAGTGTGAGCATTATAGCCTAGTATCAACAGTTAACCTGCAGCAGCTGCAAACCTGCTCCCTGTCGGGCCACTGCACAACAGCACAGGAAGAAGAATAACCAAAGAATAGATTGTGAGGCGAGAAACATGCCTTCAATATTCATGACAGCATGTTTCTCATTTGAAAATTCTTACAGCAGTTCCACAAATCCACCAGACTAATCTCAAAACCGCACACTATGTGAAAAAAAAGAAACACAGAGACATCTGTGCAGGGCTCTCCACTTGCTAAGGGCCAAGACCACACCCTGCTCAGGACACACGTATGTGCTTAGACGACTAAGCAGCAGGCACACACGCCAAGGGGAGGACCGCCTCCACGCTGGGGGTGCAGTGCTGAGCTGCCTCACCCACCCTCCCTGCAATGCACACGGCCCCACTCCTGCATGACTGACACTGCCAACAGTGACAGAATGAAAAAAATATAATAAAACAATTTTGAGATTTTTTTTTTTCTAGAGAACAAACAACCAAACATCCTAGGAAACAGCTGGTACCATGGGCATGTTGGTAAGAGCAGCCTGGGCAGGGCAGCTCAGTGAAGCCAGGTCCACATCTTGGAGCTGGGCAGGTATATTTTTAAAAGTTACTCCTGGGAGAAATCAGGTAAAGTGTGGCATGGTCTTTCGGTACTATTTCTGAACAGCTGCACACGAAGCCACAGTGATCTCAATAAAGACCTCACCTCTGGGGACCCAGAGTCAGGGCCAGGAGGAACCTACGTGCAAGTCTTTCTCCCTCAGCAGCTCTTGGAAGGCGCTTTGTCTCCACAGCAAGAGCGCGGCTCTCTGCCAGTCTGCAGGTGCAAGGCACACGGGACTCCAGGGAAGGCCAGTTGTGTCCTCCTGGGAGGGAGGTTCTCGGGTCTCTGAGAACAATCTGAACACGAGGAACTGAAACTGAAACAGAGACAGAGCGATCTCTTATTCTTTGTGCAACTTTCACCACGAGAGGCTAGCATCAGCCCATCCCAGTGCATCTGACCGTTTCCTTGGGTTACAGGTCTAGAAGCAGGACTGCTGGGTCAGAGCTGCCTCCAGGGATGAGGCCCTTGCAGTTCTGCAGTGGCAGAACCACTTGTCCCTGGGTGTTTCCACTAAAAACTGTGACAACATGGCCAGTGAAGTGCTTTATCAATTACATGTTAGTCTGTATGTCTCTGCTTATTAGGAGATTAGACTTTCTTCTTGTGTAAGCACACTTGAGTCGTGGGTGCTTAAAAGACCACGGCCCCGGACCAGTGAAGCCAGGGTGAGAGTGCTAGGTCTCTCGAGTCTCCACTCCACGCTTTCTTTACTGAGTTCCTCACAGTAACTGATGGGGACGTGCAGATGCACCCTGGATCCCCACGGGCTGCACCCGGTTCTGACAGGGCAAGGAGCCTGTACTTTGAAAAGCTCAGTTGACTCTGGTGTGAAACCTGCAATTGAAAACCACTATTTTATACACAAGAGATGTTCATTATGATTCTACAAAAGGATATTACTGGTTTGCATTATAACTTTACCTTCACTTTTGACATTTAGGGTTTGTAACACTCATCTTGCACTCACTAGACGAAAAGAGAATTCTTCTTTAAATGGAAACACTTTTTACAAACACTTATCTTTTAATTTATCTATTCTAGGCTGGGCATGGTGGCTCACACCTGTAATCCCAGCACCCTGGGAGGCCGAGGCGGGAGGATCGCTTGAGCTTAGGAGTTTGAGACTAACCTGAGCAAGAGGGAGACCCAGTCTCTACTAAAAATAGATAAATTAGCTGGGCATCATGATGTGCACCTGCAACCCCAGCTACTCGGGAGGATGAGGCAGGAGGATCACTTGAGCCCAGGAGTTTGAGGCTGCAGTGAGCTAGGCTGATGCTACGGCACTCTAGCCCAAGCAACAGAGTGAGACTGTGTCTCAAAAAAAGAAAAACGAATGACCTATTCTACAAACATCTATTTCTGTTTAAAAGGGGGGATTGCTGGCGGGCTCGGTGGCTCACGCCTGTAATCCTAGCTCTCTGGGAGGCCGAGGCGGGTGGATTGCTCAAGGTCAGGAGTTCGAAACCAGCCTGAGCAAGAGCGAGACCCTGTCTCTACTATAAATAGAAAGAAATTAATTGGCCAACTAATATATATAGAAAAAATTAGCCGGGCATGGTGGTGCATGCCTGTAGTCCTAGCTACTTGGGAGGCTAAGGCAGAAGGATCGCTTGAGCCCAGGAGTTGGAGGTTGCTGTGAGCTAGGCTAACACCACGGCACTCACCTAGCCTAGGCAACAAAGCGAGACTCTGCCTCAAAAAAAAAGGGGGGGGGGAGGGATTGTTTATCACCTTACAGCCCCAGTTTAAATTGGAACGGGAAGAAAAGGCAGTCTTCCGCCATTGCTGTGGGAGGCAGCCCACGCAGAGGAGATAGCATCATACATGATAGGACCACACACCAAGGGAAATGCTGAGGTGGTGAAGACCTCTGCCCATGTGGCTCAGAGAAGACTGGAAAGAGGAACTTAGCAGACCTACCTTTTTTATAAGGCCCAGAGGTAAACAACTGCATAAAACATCACGTGACTTGGAAGAAAATTTGCACAAAGAATAAGAAATGGCCGCTGTACAAAATCTGAAAATAAAATAATATACAAATGTGATCCACATAGAATAAAGCATGAAGGAAAAATGTGACTTTCACAAAATCGAATTTAGTACATCCTAAACCAGACGGTCCGAGCATCAGTGCTGGGTTTAGAAAACCTTCCCAAAGCCTCACACGGGCTCACCCACAATGGAAGAATCTCCCCCTGAGCTGGAGCCACAGCCTCCATGAGCTCCTGCCACACTGAAGACAGACACAAGGCAACACACGAACACTTGGACCACGTGCAAACACAGGTGTTTGTTTCCTTGAGGTCCACATGTAGTGGCCGGGCAGCCTGCATGGGCTGTCACTTTCGTGTACACTTCCTACACCTTTTCTCAGAAAGCCCCTGTCAGTGCCCCTGCCCAGACCCTGTCCTGATGCTAACTGCCACTCGGTCCCCACAGGGTCTCTTAGGCATCGTGACGGTGCTCTAGGCCTACCCTGGCTTAGCTCTGCCCAAGGAGCCTAGGAGCTGGCCCCTATCCTAGCTACCAACTCTCTCGAGAGTCTCCTGGCCTCTGTCTGGCCACAGCGAGCCCATCCCCGCCCTGCCCAGTCCCAGGGGCCCCTGTCCACTCAGCACAGGCCCCGCTGCAGTGGCCCTGGGTGCTGCTGAGGGGCCCTGCGGAGAAGGGGGCAGGGGCAAGGGCAGGAACGAGACTTGTGACACGTGTCCAGTGAACACGTGTGGACTAGACACACAGTGGGGTGTGTACTGACACGAACTGGTAGGACGAGCATCTCAAAACCCTTCAAGTTTACTTTCTGACCGTGCAGTTCCTTGGCATTCACCCTGGAAAGACAGTGGCTACTGCGAGGCTGCTCAGTGCCGGGAAACCCTAACCCAGCCACAGGGAACTGGTTCAACCAACTGCCAGACGACCCCAGGACAGCAGCAACTCCCAGGTCGTGGAAGGAAAACAGTGATGTGGAAAGACATTTACAACGTGTTACTAGTTTCAGTAATGTTAATTTCAGCAGTTTAGTAAAGCGGTATGACTCCATTTTTATAACAGAGAAACAAACATGCACATCACACAGAAAATGAAGTCCCAGAAGGATATATACTAAACGCTAACAAGGGACTCCCTGGGGGTGGTGCGGTTTTCTGCATGCCTGCGTTTTTCAGTTTTGTCTAGTGACGACATGTAACTTTTCTCGAGAGAAGGTGGACGTGGCTGGGCGAGGGCGGTGGCTTACTTCAGGCAGAAGAGCGAGGACTCCCTCGTCCTGCAGGTCAGCAGGCTGTCGAGCAGGTCGGGGAAGGGAAGGCCCCCGGCAGGGGCAGGAGGACCCACATCTACCTCCGGGAGCACGGACCTGGACTCGCCCAGGTGGACAGCCAGAGCGGCCAGCCCCAGCACGTGCGAGGCACTCAGGCTTGGGCCCTGAAAGGAGAGTGAGGGCCAGTGGCAGAGTGGATGGCCGCCTCCCAGCAGGAACGACCCAAGGCACCGAGGACAAGCCGGAAGCAGGTGCCTACCTGGAGGTGGAGCAGCTGGCAGAGCCGGGACAGCACCTCCGGCAGCAGTGAGCACCCACACACGGTCCTTGTGAACAGGGTGGCCCAGGGGCCCTGCCTACACGGACAGCCCCGGCACCATCAGCGCCGGCCACTCTTGGCCCTGCACGTGCCTCAGCGGGCAGCCCAGGCACCGGAGCCCCAGCAAGAAGCCGGTTCGTTCCCCATGACAACCAGCTTCTGTGGTGACTCTCCACCCCCGCCGCGTCCCCACATGCAGGACTCGGCACTGCGCGCAGAGCTCCCCCAGCCCACGCACAGTCTCCGCACGGCAGGGAGAGGGACCCCGAGCAGGTCAAACCACTCAAGGAGGCTTTTGAGCCTTTACCTCTCTGGGGGCGCGAAGCTGGAGGCCGCCATCAGGCTCTGGCAGAAAGACGTCAGCAGGAGATCCGCCACCTGGAGAGACACGATCCTGAGAAGGTAACCCACGGACCCAAGCAACGTGAAGTAACCCCGATGTCCCATTCACACCACCGACACTGCGATTCTGCTTCGCAGACAGAACCGCAAGACGGGCTTGCATTTGGGGAGAAAAAAACAATGCCCGTTAGTACCAAGGACCCTCCCCAAATCCCAGGACTGGAACAGGCTAACTGTTGTCACACAACCTCTAATCATGAGACTCACATTAGTGAGCGGGATTAGCAAGTCTGTGAGAGCCAAAAAATACAATTTTAGGCTTTGGGGCTGCAAATGGCCTTTGTCACATAATCTTCACTAACAATGTAAAAGAGTTCTCCATACACAGAAAGGCCAGGGTAGAACGAGCTGACCCTGGCACACACCACCCAGGCCCTGGACATCTGATCTCAACATGTACAGTTTACTTAGCAAAACAAGCACACATGAAGACGACTGTACATTGTTTTTTGCATGATCTGAGAAACAGCTGAGCCCCTGGAGCCGTATTTGAAGGTGCTCACACCCACCTCCTGTTCTTGCTGCTTGAGTCTTGGAGAGACCAAGCTGAGCCGAACCTTTGACATCTCACAGCTGGCGTCGTCCTTACCATGGCGCAAGGCAGCGCCCAGTCTGTCGGAAATCACTGCCATCTGAGCAGATATCACTGCAAACAAGACACAAGTCAGATAAGGGAAACGTGGATGTAGAGGTGTGTACGGCTGGACCAGCAGGGGAGCCCCGGCCTCCCTCCAGGTGTGACTCTCTCCACCAACACTGCACTGCTGTCAGGCAGCAGTGAGGGGAGTGTTTTTCCACACTGCAGGTGGGGTCATGAGAACGCCGGGAGGCTGCAGCCCCGAGACGCTGGGCACTGCTGATGGCAGAATGGGGCCTGGCTTCCACCCACTACTACTCCGTGACCACCTGAGAGGCCAACACAGTCCTGCACCAGTACAAACCTCCCCTTTATCTTCTCCATCTGAAACCCCAGGCCAGCTCTACCAACCCCCATACATGTCTGAACACACGCCAGAGGTTCTGCCTCTACATAGCCTCTGGGACACCAGCTATCCAGAGACCACAATACGTGGGCCCAGCTACGCCACTTACACATGAAAATTTCTGTTGCTTTTAGAAACAGGGCAGCTCTGACATTTATCAATATTTTGATTAAACACTAGAACTTTTCCTCAACATCCCCAAACCCCAATTCTGCACAAGCACCGCCTTGAAAGGGGAGCTTATGACACTCACAGCATGGCTGCAGCAGGGGGCATGTCTGAGGCGCCACACTAAGGCAGCTGGGCTAATATTTCAGTCTTGGTTTGGTTTGAAAGAAATCAATTCATAATAAATATAAAACTATTACAGCTACTCAGTAAAAACATGGCTGATTTATTTTGGATCCTGCATGTACAGCAATGATAATCTGACAGTGCACTGCTGTTGTGGAGTGGCAAGTGCTGTGACGCTGCTGTCTGACTCTGCAAGGTAGACACGCGCACCGCCTGTTTTATGGAACAGTCACATGCAAGCAGGATCACGGGGTGAGACACAGTGTGTGACGCTGGTGTCTCACTCTGCAAGGTAGACACGCGCACCACCTGTTTTATGGAACAGTCATATGCAAGCAGGATCATGGGGTGAGACACAATGTGTGTGACGTTACATCTGCTAAGGCAGAGAGGATGAGGAGGAAAGCCAAATGTCTTCCTAACTTCTCTCCTTCCTTTCTCTGTCATCTGCCCTACTCAGATGCCAAACAGAGCACCCATCTTCTGCCAAGGGTTTGTGACAGCTGGGATGGGACCCGTATCCACTGTCTCTGAAAGAAGGTGGCACCTTCAACCCCCGTCAGCCCACGGTCAAGTCTAACCACTACAGCTGGACCGCACTCCACCCACAGGTGCACACGCTCACACGTGAGCACTGCTCACCATCGTATCGATCGGGATCTCTCATGCAGGCTCTGAGCTCTCCCAGGGCAGCCGTAAGCCGTCCCAGGGCCTCCTCAGCACAGCTGGGCTCTGCCCTTGCTCCGGGGGCTGCATCTGAGATGGGGGGGCAATTTCAACAGTTAGGCCAGGCTGGAAACACACATAACAGGACTCATCATCATGGAAAGGGAAACCACACCCAGTTGAACAGGAAACTGTTAATTCCCATGGCGGACAGGGCGCTGGAGTCTAGGGGAGGAGAGGGACTCCCCCTCTGATGGTGGATGCTGTCATTTCAGAAATTAAAACACTTATAATGCCTAAGGGAAAAAACGGTTCTGTGTACAACATCACAACCGTGAAAAGCACACTCGTGGCAGGAAAGGACCAAAGCACAGCCAGAGTGTGAGGGCTGGGAAGGCTGGGGCAGAGTCACACATCAGGGTTTGGTCCCTGTTCCCTGAACTGCTAAACAACATGGTGACCCTGTGTTTTACAACAGGATGTGAACGACGACGGAGAATTGGCGTATGAGAGACAATGACCAGTGCGCAAAAACCTTGCATAGATTTACTATAAAAAGACTAGACCTGATCACATACTTGCAAAAGATATTTGTTTAAACCTCCAACACACCATTTTGAATATAACAAGGAAGATACACCCCATGTTTTAAAAGCAAAACAAGTTCAAGTTCTGGGGCTGTAAAGACACAAGCGTAAAAAGGTACCACAGAACATGTGGGTCTTGCCCAAAATGAAATTAGAACCCACAGGCTCTAAGGTTCTGCTCCTAAGTTCTATCAGACAAATCATTAGAAAACACACTGCAAGTCCCCAAAACTAGGATCAAGCAGTTAGGAAGGCCCAGGGGTTGAGGAGCTCAGCTCTCAGGAGTGGACCCTCCTCCTCCTCGGTGGACACAGCCCCCCACAACATCCCAGTGCAGCCGTGAGCTGCCCAGTACTGGTCCAGGTGGGGGGCCAGGGACCTTCATGCTCTGCCCACCGCAGTTTCCTGGATCTCCATGATCGCTTAGGAAATTTCCTAAGCTTGTGGAAGGAGGGGTTTTGGCAAACAGAACTAGAAAACAAGGCCATGGTTAGAAAAGTCCCACTTAGCCTACCTGGCCCTACAGATGTCAAACGTAAACAGGGCTTCAACAGGGGCCAGGCCCCTCCTGACAGCCTCTCCCTGTTGCCCTGGTGAGTCAGGAGCCCCGGGCACCAGGAAGAAAGTGTGGCAAGCACAGGTGCCTCAAAGTTTGGGCACGTCACAGATTCAGTTTTACAGTTTCATAGACCTGACCTCGTCTACATCACCAGTCCCTAAAGAACCCCAGCTCACACTGCTAACGGAACTATCCCAACTGTCAGAAAGTGACGTGCCCACTCTACGGCCACACACTTCAGCATTGAGGCCGTGGGCCGAGAGAGCACCTGGACCTCAAACCAAGGTATGGGATAGGCACACAGAAAACATGCCTCAGCCTAAGCCAGGTACAAACAGAGATGGCAGATCATAAAGTGGGACTTCGTGCTGCACACAGCACACGCTAGAAAGTGCTACTTCAGATGACTTTACAGGACCTACAGGGACAGCAGCCTGTGAGCCAGCCCCTCCCACCAAGCCTGGCCTGTGCTGTCCGGGGCGGGGACCCCTCTGAATCCAGTGCACAGGCCCCAGCCAGCGCCACCACACACACAAGCCACGGTCAGGGAGCTGCGGGGCACAGGCGAGGCAGGTGGGCAGCCATGAACCTTACTTTCTAGAGTCTTCTCTTCAGCAGCGGCACAGGCGCGGCAGTAGGCGGAGTACAGAGATGGGGGGATTTTCTCTGCTCTGGGTCAGAAGGAAACAATAAAATCAGGTCAACTATGACTTGAATTAATTCTGAAATTTATAATTCCAAAAATTATTATAAAGTAAAAATATATTCAGATTGAATAAATTTTATTAACACTGTGTGGCACATACAGTATGGTCCTGTTTTAAGAGAAGAAATCATATGTATGATTAAAAATGTACATATATTGATTCTAATGGTACTGTTTTCAGAGTAAGTCATATCAATCACATGTTAGTATCTGGGAGATTAGACTTTTAAACACAGTGGTTACCAATGGGCAGTGGGATTATAAATTACTTTTATTTATCTCATTCAAGTTTTTATAATTTCCAAATTTAAAACTGAATTTATATTACTTTTAATGAATAGCACTAAGAAAAACACTCCATGTCATTAAAAACATGCAGAATTGTAAAAACAAGGTCCTGTAAGAAGGACACGGGCATCAGAGGGGCTACAGCTGGGAACAGGAGCCAGGACTGGGCCCAAGGCGCAGGACACTGTGAGCAGTGCGCTCTGCCCCAGCAGGCTCCTCCTTCAGGTGCAGGCCAGGGAGCCGCTACATGTTGGGGAAGCAATGAGACCCCCAGCACACACAGCTGGTCATGCAGCACCAGAGACCACACGGCGCTTGGTGAGACCAGCACCACACTCAGAAAGGCCGAGTGGAGAGAGCGGCAAGCACTTCCTGGCACGACTTCTGGGCCTGTCCCCAAGCCGCCCCATAAACCGAAGATCAGCCAGATACAGACAGAGAAGAATGAGGACGTGGCTGAGCTCCGAAGTTAAAGCCCATGGCGACAGACCAGAATTCAGACAGAGAACACACAGCCTGGGGCGAGGAACCCCACAGACAGTGCACCGCTTTGGTATAAGAAAGCTACAGCTTAACAAATAGAAACCAACTCAAAGAAAAAGCAAATTCAGAGTAGAGATCCCGTCTCTACTAAAAATAGTAAGAAATTAATTGGCCAATTAAAAATGTATAGAAAAAATTAGCCGGGCATGGTGGCACATGCCTGTAGTCCCAGCTACTCGGGAGGCTGAGGCAGGAGGATGGCTTGAGCCCAGAATTGTGAGGTTGCTGTGAGCGAGGTTGAAGCCACAGCACTCACTCTAGCCGGGGCAACAGGACTCTGTCTCAAAGAAAAAAAAAAAAAAAAAAAGATAGCAGCAATATGGGTGGGGGTACATGGGTGTTTTTTAAATTGGTCTCTGTACTTCTGTATATATTTGAAATATTTTATAACAAAAACATAAAAATAAGGATCCCAGAGATAAAAAAATTTTACTTCTTAGGCTCTTTCTCCTTTGAATCTTCTTAAAGGTGCAAACACTTTTAAAGTTTCACTGGAAAACAGGATTCATAGTTTCCAGTTTCTCCCAACAAGGATGACCTTTGAGAAACAAACCAACTTTTTGCTACTGGAAACCCACAGTGCAAGTGAACTGGGACACAACATCATCATTCTAACAAGAACCCAGGTCTATCTTAAGGTTGTACAGTGTGAGGCTTTCTCAAGGCTATTTTCCTTCTTTGCTTAAATTACACAATGGTTATTTAGTGAACACCATCTTTTTTTAAATCCCAGACCAATCATCCTAAAAGTTCATTAAAGAACAATGCTGAGTGGTGATATTCAAAAATCAAACAATTTTCTTTTAAAAATCATAACCACATCATTTCTGAGCCAATATTTTGTGAGTAAAACATATTAAAGAACCATAATTCTGTGTATTATCAAAACCCCCTGGAAACAGAGTAGCCCTCCCTGCGGAGGTTCTGGCGTACCTCTTCAGGGACTCTATAAAAGCCGCTCGGGCATCAGGGACTTTCGGGAGCTGTGAGGAGAGAGAAGGCCCAGTGAGACACCGGCAGGGAACTTACTGGTCATAAACGCACAGAGACACACTTACCACTCGAGGTGTGAGCAGGGCAGGGAGAAAGTGAGACAGGTAGTAAGGCCTCCTGAATATGCTGCAACAGAGAAAGCAGATGAAGCCTTCGTGCACTAACAGGAAGGGTGGGTATAGTGGCACCTGTAGTCCCAGCTACTTAGGAGACCCAGGCAGGAGGATCCCTTGAGCCCAGGAGTTGGAGGCTGCAGTGAGCTATGGTTACACCACTGCGATCTAGTCTGGGTGAGAGAGAGCAAGCCTGTCTCAAAAATAAAGAGAAACAACAACAAAAAGGCAGGTTCCACAGAGGTGGCACCACGGGTGGCTCTTTGCATTTCAAGGCTGATGTTTCATTATGTTTCTATATTTTTTATATAAAAATTTTAATTTTTTCCTCTTATTTTTTATAGATTTAGCTGTGTCATGTTTCTGTCTTCTTTTCTGCTATCGTGAGATGTGTCATGCACAGGGCAGTCTGTGCTGGTCTCCTCTTGCGTCCCAGGGAACCCAGGCCACGTTCTGCGTGTCGCTGAGGTTGGCCATGGAACCTGGGCCATGTAAGACCATGAAGGTGGCCTTAGATCCTTTCTGGACATTCTACCAGGAGCTGACCTCAAAATCCTGGGAAGTGGAACCAGTTCACCATGTTGGCAGGCACCAGAATTTAAGATGTTTGGGGATCACAGGAATTAAATGTAGTTTTGCCATTCAACTGTCTGTGCTGGCTCCAGACTGTCACCAAGAAAGCACTAATAAAAATACCAACATTCATCAGGTGTTGGGCAGGTGGGAGGGGAAGGAGGGGATGGGTGCGTACACCCCTAATGGCGGTGGTGTGCACGGTCTGGGGGATGGGCACGCTTGAAGCTCTGACTTGGGTGGGGCAAGGGCAATATACATAACCTAAACATTTGTACTCTCGTAATATGCTGAAATAAAAGAAAAATTAAGAAAAAAAAATCACTGTTACCAAATGGAGCCCAATGTCTCCCCTCCCATGGTGTGGGCTCCCCAGTCAATACCACCTGCCAGCTGTTTCAGGGTTGGAGGGTACCACATGCTTTTACAGAAAAAAACATGTTTCCCAGCAAGAGCACAGCTGTCCACGTCACTCTGTGCCCCCTAAGGGCAGGGTCTTTGCTGTGACCTTTTCGCCCCCAACTCCTGCCTCTCCATGAATAGACAGTGACCACCCTCATTATGTGGCTAAGGACACAGGACATGCTCAAAAGAGCCCCCACGGTGACAGTGGAGTCTGGGTGTGCTATAGCCACCAGTTACACTCTGGACAGCCCAACCCTACCTGGCCTCCATGACGGTGACCGGGATTCTGCCTGTGTGTTCAAACACTGTGATGGCCTTTTCAACATCCTGCGGTGCTTGGCTGTGGGGCTGGTTCCCACACAGGGAGGAAGGGGGGAGAAAGAACGGAAGGTTTATAAAAGAAAGTGAGCAGGCCGGGCATGGTGGCTCACCCCTGTAATCCTAGCATTCTGGGAGGCCAAGGCGGGAGGATCGCTCAAGGTCAGGAGTTTGAGACCAGCCTGAGCAAAAGCAACGCCCTGTCTCTACTAAAAATAGAAAGAAATTAATTGCCAAATATATATATTATATTTATTTATATATATATATGTATATAAATAAACTAAGCCGGGTATGGTGGACATGCCTGTTGTCCAGAGCTACTTGGGAGCTGAGGCAGGAGGATGGCTTGAGCCCAGGAGTTTGAGTTGCTGTGAGCTAACGCCACAGCACTCTAGCCCAGGCAACAGAATGAGACTCTGTCCAAAAAGATGGAATGAAAAAAATGAAAATGGGAGATGAATGAATGAAGAAGAAAGTGAGCAGATAAGGCCGAGCACCAGTCTCTCCCTTGCTGCAATGATTCTTCTGCACAAAATCACAGGCAAAGGCTTTGACCTGCCTGGGCAACATATCAAGACCCGGTCTCTACTAAAGATTAGCCAGGTGTGGTGGTATACTCGAGAGCCAAGGGTGAGGAGGCACTTGAACCCAGGAACTCAAAGCTGCAGTGAACTACATACCACCATTGTTACAACAGAAGTGAGACTCATCTCTAAAAATACAAATAGTCGCCACGAGACTCGGAGTGGTTTGTAAGTCGTGGCTTGTTCTTGGTCGAGAGCCAAAAAGGGGAGGAAAGCCATGTCGTCCTTATCAGAAGCATGATCAGCACCGCCAAAGCGCCCTGGGGGCCCACTGGCCCCTACAGTCAAGGCTGTATTAGTTGACCAGGACGTTTACCATTCAGGACAGATAGGATGGATCATCATGTGGACCGCTTGTGCTGGGAGAGAGTAGAAGCAGCGCTAAACAAGGCTCTTAAAAACAGGGTTGAAATTCTGAAAGCTCCAGGTTGTGACTTCACTAATGTGGGTAAAAACAACTGTTTTCGCTGCTGACATAAATGACTAATACCGTCAATGACATCCTATAAACAGTATTCTCAAGAAGTAATTTTCCTGCAAGAGCTGTCTTACCAGGTTGCTGCTTGCCAAAGGAGCAAATTGTTGAAATTGAAGCAGTAGCTGTCCAAGGGCCTTTCACCAACACCGTACTGATAAGTGGGGCCCAGGTTTAGTCTGGAATTTTACATCTTAATTTTATATCTTGATTAATATCTCTTAATTTTTATATATTGATAGAAGCCATAAGCCTGACTAAAATATCTAAAGTTACATGGAAATAGCATATAAATATGGGTAGTTGAACATGAATGGAAGGATTAGATAATGCATCCAATTGCTGTATGTGTAAATTACACCTTAATGTATAGCCCTTATGGACTGAATGTAGGAAAGAGCTAGCTCATACATACGTTACTCCAATAACGGGAAAGTAACAGGTAGGAAAGATGAGTTATGTTTCTGAGAAGTAACCAAAACACTACCTATCAAACTAATGATGTGATATTAGTTCCTCATTCAGATCCTATGATTCTTTTAGTTGGAGTAAAAAATAAAGTATTAAATATGAATGGTAGAGGTTCTAGGAGAAAGAAGTAGAACCAATATTTAATATAGTCAATAATTTTCTCCATGGAAATAAAAATACGACATATACTTAAAATAAATAATAAAATAAAAAAGATTTCCAGGTGGGAAGAAGTAGAGACTTAATTTTTTTTTTTTTTTTTGTTTTTTTTGAGACACGAAGCCACTTTGTTGCCCAGGCTAGAGTGAGTGCCGCTGGCGTCAGCCAACGCTCAAAACGCAACCCTCCCAAACTCCGGGGCTCAGCGATCCTACTGCCTCAGCCTCCCGAGTAGCTGGACTACAGCATGCGCCACCATGCCGGCAATTTTTTGTGTATTATATTTTTAGTGGTCAATTATTATTTCTATTTTGTAGAGACGGGTCTCGCTCACCCCCGCCCCCCGCTGGTTTCGAACTCCGTGACCTTGCAATCGCCGCCTCGCCTCCCAAAGTGCTAGGAGACTTAATTTTTGAGATTTAAAAAGATTATGAATTGCAATTTAGGAACAGCAATGAATTTTCAATGAAAAATTGCATTAAATATCTTCACCTAACACTTGAATAGCATCCATAAGTGGTCTTTAGCAATCTGCAACCTCAAAGTAAAAGGGTCTTAAAAATTAGAAAAGGTTTTTTTTTTTTTTTTTGAGACAGAATCTCACTCTGTGTGCCTGGCTAGAGTGCCGTGGTGGTCAGCCTATGCTCACAGAACCTCAAATCCTGGCTCAAGCAGAGTCCTCCTACCTTCAGCCTCTGAGTAGTGGACTATAGGCATATACCACCAATGCAGCTATTTTTTGTATTTAGTCTGTCCCTAATTTCATTTTTTTTTTTTTTTTTTTAGTAGAGATGGTCTTGCTCTCTGCTCAGCCAGTCTTGAACTCCTGAACTCAAACAATCTGCCCAATTCAGCCTCCCAGAGTGCTAGGATTACAGGTGTGAGCCACCACACCCAGCAGAGGTTTTCTTACCCTTGACTATACCACAATCACATGGCCATCTGACCTTTGGCTTACAAACTACACTTTTCTGTAATTCCAGAAAACAGCACAGACCAAGTCTTCATCCCACCCCATGTAAAGACCTCCTACAATGACCAAGCTAACGGCACTAGGCACTTCCCCCCAGGGGAATCTCAGAACCAGTGTAGGGTATCTCAGAACAAAACACCTCCAGGACTTCTGCCTGACTGCACCACGCTGGAATGCTCCACTGAGAGTCAGGAAGACTTGGGCCTCGCTTGGTGAGCACTGGCATGGACTGAGACCCACAGGGAGCCTCAGGGCTTACTCTGGAACGTCCCCTTGCGATAACACGTCCGCGTAGAGCCCATGTTTTCCATAGAGACTTTCAGAGAAGAGATGGAACAAGAACATGGAAATGAAGACAGTGCTCTGGCCGGGACAGGTCTCAGGAGCAGGCGTGAGACCATGGACTTGCCTTGATGGTCAGCCAGGCGCGTCTTGGCCAGTGTATGTAGTCCGTGAGGAGGGAGCGGTAACTGTTTGGAACCAGCGGTGGGTGGAGGATGTGCACCTGAGACGCAGCAGAGTCATGAGACACGGTACACAAACCGTCTGGGGCAACCATTCACTTCTAAGATCTAAAATGATGCTGAGTAGAAACACACAGTCCTTTACCCATTGAATATTTAGCAAGATTAAACCCCACAGCAACAGAAAGCTGCTTCCCCAGACAGAACCTTTTTTTTTCCGCAGGCAGAAACTTAAAGAACCCTAACACAGGTGGCCCTACAAGGCTGTGGCAGTGAGCGCAAGAGCGACAAATGTGGAATCCCAGACCCGGCAGGTGGGCACCAGGCACACCCACAGCCCCGCCCCGGCCACCACGGAGAAGAGGGTCAGCACCGACTCTAAGTTTGTGACACTGGTAGCAGGATGGACTCAATGACCAAACCGTGCACTTCAGAGGACGCTCAGGTGCTGCAGACACACCAAGTCTGAGTTCACAAGGAACCAAAGCAGGTACCAAGTGAGGAAAATAGACGCTGTGAGTGTCAACGCCAGGCTACGGAGCTGCAGACAGGGCGCGAGCACAGGAGACAGGAAAGTCAGGCAAGAAGCCCAGGACAGCCAGGGCAGAAGCTTACAGGGGTCTCCACGTGCTGGACTATGTTTTGCCACTTCCTTCGCAGGTGGCCAGGCTGGGAAGAGGGCCCAGGCAGAACCTCATGGACCAGCCCCCACCCTTCCTGGTGACATCTCCTTTTCCTCCCTCAGTGTGGAAAGTGGCGCTCAGAAGCTCAGGATCAGGACAGTACCAACACTCCAGCAGAGGCATCTTTTGTTTTAAAGATAACTATAGCAAAACACAACTGTGACAAGGAGACGGAAGAGGCCAGCTCTGCCCCTAGCCTGGTGATAGGTACGACACCTTCATTCTTTGTCATCCACCTGGAATGAATCTTATAATTTAATAAAAAACGAGGGTGGCTGGGCGCGGGGTGGCTCATGCCTGTAATCTAGCACTCTGGGAAACTGCTCGATCAGGGGAGTTTAAAACCAGCCTGAGCAAGAAACGAGACCCATCATCTACTATAAATAGAAAGAATTTTTTTGCAACTAATTATATATAGACAAAATTAGGCCAGCGATGTGGTGGTGCATGCTGTGTCCAGCCACTGGGGAGGCTGAGACAGAGGATCGCTGAGGCCAGGAGTTTGAGGTTGCTATAAACCATAGGCTGATGCCACAGCACCACTCTAGCCGTGGGGAACAGACCAAGACTCTGTCTCAAAACCAAAAACAAAGACAAACAAAAGAAAAGAGTTTCAGAATCAGTTTAATTTCTCATGGAAATAAATAACATATATTAAATAATAAAAATAAAAAGAGATTCCACCAGTGGGAGAAGTAGAGCGACTTAGATTTTTTGTTTTTTTGTTGTGTTTTGTTTTTTTTGAGACAGAGTCTCACTTTGTTGCCAGGCTAGAGTGATGCCGTGGCGTCAGCCTGCTCACAGCAACCTCATCTCCTGGGCTCAGCGATCCTCCTGCCTCAGCCTCAGCTACTCAGGAGGCTGAGGCAGGAGGATGGCTTGAGCCCAGGAGTTTGAGGTTGCTATGAGCTGACGCCACAGCACTCTAGCCCAGGCAACAGAATGAGACTCTGTCTCAAAAATAAATAAATAAAAGAAAGTGAGCAGATAAGGCCAGCACCAGCCTCTCCCTTGCTGCAATGATTCTCTGCACAAATCACAGGCAAAGGCTTTGACGTGGTCGACACACAGCAAGGATCTGGGACATACACGCAAATTCCCCAAATGCAAACAAAACATGGAAAGGGATTATACTTGCTATCTTCTACCCTGAGAAAGCTCAGACTCACTGGGCATGGCAGCTCATGTCTGTAATTTCAGCACTTTGGGGAGGCCAAGGCAGGAAGGCTTGAGGCCAGGAGTGCGAGACCTGCTTGGGCAACATATCAAGAGCCGGTCTCTACTAAAGATTAGCCAGGTGTGGTGGTATACTCGAGAGGCCAAGGTGGGAGGAGCACTTGAACCCAGGAACTCAAAGCTGCAGTGAACTACAATCACACCATTGTACAACAGAGTGAGACCTCATCTCTAAAAAATAAAATTAGTCAGCTGAGACTCAAGCGGGTTTGTAGTCGTGGCTTGTTCTTGTCGAGAGGCCAAAAGAGGGGAGGATAAGCCATGTCGTCCTTGATCAGAAGCATGATCAGCACCGCCAAAGCCCTGGGGGCCACTGGCCCCTACAGTCAAGCTGTATTAGTTGACAAGACCGTTTACATTTCAGGACAGATAGGCATGGATCATCATGTGGACAGCTTGTGCTGGGAGAGGTAGAAGCAGCAGCTAAACAAGCTCTTAAAAACATGGGTGAAATTCTGAAAGCTCCAGGTTGTGACTTCACTAATGTGGTAAAAACAACTGTTTTGCTGGCTGACATAAATGACTTCAATACCGTCAATGACATCTATAAACAGTATTTCAAGAGTAATTTTCCTGCAAGAGCTGCTTACCAGGTTGCTGCTTTGCCCAAAGGAGGCAGAATTGAAATTGAAGCAGTAGCTGTCCAAGGGCCTTTCACAACACCGTTACTATAAGTGGGCCCAGTGTTTAGTCTGGAATTTTTACATCTTAATTTTTATATTTGATATAATAATCTCTTAATTTTTATAATTGATAGAAGCATAAGCCTGACTAAAATATCTAAAGTTATCATGGAAATAGCATATAATAGGGGTAGTTGAACATGAATGAAGATTAGATAATGCATCCAGTTGCTGATGTGTAAATTACACTTAATGTATACCCTTATGACTGAATGTAGGAAAGAGATACTCATTACATAGTTACTCAAATAACGGGAAATAACAGGTAGCAAAGATGAGTTATTGTTTCTGAGAAATAACCAAAAGCACACCTAATCAAACTAATGATGTGAAATATTTAGTTCTCATGTCAGATCTATGATTCTTTTAGTTGAGTAAAATTAAAGTATTTAAATATGAATGGTAGAGGTCTAGGAGAAAGAAGTAGACCAAAATTTTATATAGCTAATACTTTTCTTCGTGGATATACAATAGACCATGATATTAAATACAATAATAAAAAACAAAAAGGATTTCCAGGTGGCGAAAACGTAGAGGACCAATTCAATTTTTGGAGATTGTAAAAGATTATGAAATGCAACCTTTAGGCAACAGCAATGAATTTTCATGGCAAAAACTGGCATTAAATATCCTTCACCTACACACCTTTGAATAGCATCCATAACCTGGTCTTTAGCAATCTGCACCTCGACAAGTCAAAAGGGTCTTAAAAATTAGGAGAAAGAGTTTTTTTTGTTGCTTTTTCTTTCGAAGCACAGAATCTCTCTGTTGCCTGGCTAGAGTGCCGTGGTGTCAGCCTAGCTCACAGCAACTTCAAACTGCCATCGCTACCGGCCTCAAGCAATCTCGCAAAAAACCCATCACATCAAACTAAGACGAGAACATAAAACAATATCACAACCATGCCCAGCTATTTTTTTTATTTACGTTGTCCCGCTAAATTTCCATCTTTTTTTCTTTCTTTCTCGTTTTTACGTAGAGAGGTCTTGCTCCTTGCCTCAGGCCAGTCTTGAACTCCGTTGAACCTCCAAACACTTGCCAATTCAGCCTCCCAGACGTTGCTACGGATTACAGGGTGATGTAGCCACCACACCCAGCAGAAGGTTGTTCTTACCCTTGACATACACACATCACATGGCCATCTGACCTTTGGCTTACAAAGCTAACACTTTTCTGTAATTCCCAGAAAACAGCACAGACCAAGTCTTCCATCCCACCCCATGTAAACAGACCTCCTACAAGGACCAGCTAACGCCACTAGGCACTTCCCCCTAGGGGAATCTCAGAACAAAACACCTCCAGGACTTCTGCCTGACTGCACCACGCTGGAATGCTCCACTGAGAGTCAGGGAAGACTGGGCCTCCGCTTGGTGAGCACTGGGCATGACTGAGACCCCACAGGGCAGCCTCAGGGCATTACCTCTGGAACGTCCCCTGCTGATGACACATCCTCGTAGAGCCCCATGTTTTCCATAGAGACCTTCAGAGAAGAGATGGAACAAGAACATGGAAATGAAGACAGTGGTCTCTGCTGGGACAGGTCTCAGGAGCAGGCGTGGAGACCATGGACTTGCCTTGAGGTCAGCCAGGCGCGTCTTGGCCAGTGTGATGTAGTCCGTGAGGAGGGAGCGGTACTTGTTTGGAACCAGCGGTGGGTGGAGGATATGCACCTGAGACAGACAGCAGAGCATGAGACAACGGTACACAAACCGTCTGGGGCAACCATTCACTTCTAAGATCTAAAATGATGCTGAGTAGAAACACACAGTCCTTT